ATATATATATATATATATATATATATATATATATATATATATATATATATATATATATATATACACATTTAGCTTACTTTTATATTTAAGTAGTGAGTGCTTACATATTAAGATAAACAGCTATAAGATAAAATACAATATTCTGTCTAAAGAGGCGAAACTATTTTGAAGGGCTCAGGAAATTCAAGTATGTAACTGGTGAGCTACAGCTAGAGTCAAATCCCTGATAGATTGTGTAAAATAAAATAGTAAAATACTAATTAATGTAACCTCTTGCCCAAAGCAAGTTGTTCTGAAATACCAAAAGTAGATGTATGTAAGTTGACTTCCTATTTTATTATACTTTGATCATTTTTTGTATGATTTTATATCACATAGTTTGCTTAGAGCTATATCGAATATATAACAATAAAGTATTATTTTTATGTTATATTGATATTCTTTGTATGAAATGTTTCATAAAAATTATTATCATAGTCAGAATTTTTTAATGGGATATATTATATAAATTTTTGTTTTCATGCACTTGGGTCTGCTCATAAATCTTTGACCAATGCCTTTGCAAATTATTACATTCTAAATCAATAATAAAACAATAAAGAAATGAATAAAGAAATGTATCAGATTAAAGTTTTTCTGTTGAGTATAAGATTAATCTAATAGTTTGTGCTAAATTTTTTAATGATATTGCCTGCATAATTACTGAACCAGCGAGGTGTGAAGTCAGGTTTTCACTCTGTAATCGTTAAAGGTGGAGCAATGTTCTTAGCATACTTCCATAGAGCTTCAGCTAAAAGTCTGCATGCTCAGTGTTGCTCTGTTGAAATGATGGGTTTTTATAACTGTCTGCTGTCCCTTATTAGAGGTGGTCTGGCCTGTCTGGGTCTGTAATCTTGAGGCCCACCCGTGTGTGCCATCGGTGTGGTGCGAGTGGCTGCTGAGATAGAGGAACATATGACGCCGTGGTTCTCTTCACTTCCTGAAAATTTACACTCAACAGAAACAGCTACATGTGAAACACAGACTAAAACCTGGGCGCTGTCTTAGAGGAGAGGGAGAAAATGGACGACTTCTTGGCCTCCATTGAAACGGTTTCCCCAATGAATGAGATGGCCTAAAAGGTGAGCCTAACTGCAAAGTTTTTACGCTCATTCTGTTGTAATTTGTGTTGCTTTAGATTATCTTGCACCTGCACGTCTGTGATCAACAGTTGAAAGGGCCTGCAGGAGTCTCTAATGTAAACCTGTGGAAATAGATTTTAAAGAAGCTCCTTGTGTAGTACGTTTTGGCCAGATAGTTCTCAAGTGGGGTCATCCTGCATACCTCACAGAGAAAATTTGTCCACGTTGTTGAGCTTGCATGTTAGCTTTCGCTTTACACCTAGCTTGGAGTGGAGCTGCTGGTTTTGACCAATATTCTTCTAATTAACAATAAAAAGGTCTTCTCATTAAATTGTTAGAAGTATAAAATGTACAGTTTTACTTTCATTATAAGACCTCACCCTTCATGGCTACTCTTATCTACCCTACCAGCTAAAAAAGCTTTAAAAGTGTTTACTTTCTGAACTCATCATGTCATTTCTCTCCAGCTTTGGGTCTGCTTAAGAAGCCCAAGGAGCTGCCATGGACCTCCTGGATTTCAGCGGAACACGACAGTTCCAAGAAAGAGAATTTGACAGGATGGTTGACTATCGCACAGAGAGACGAGAGTATTTACGTGGACGCAACAACGTGACTTCGTGCAGGAGCCCAACCAGAGACCTTGACACAAGCCGGGTCAAAAAGCAGCTGAAAGAGAAGAGACAGCGAGAGTTTCTGAGGAGGAGATCAGTGAGCCCAGAGCCACGAACCGCGGGGTGCATTATCTGTTCCACAGATATAGATTCTTTTTCTGAGTCGTATCTGAACAGACTTTACAGATCAAGGAGGAAATGTGAGAAGCTGGCTACAAAAACACAAAGGTTCTCCTCTGCTGATGGACATCCAGAAATGATTCTAACACCAGAAAGCAGAAGAAGCGATTATCCAAGCACCAGCAAATGGGTAAATGTTTCTTGGGTATTTTGTTAGCCTTCTCCACACTTTTAGATGACAAGTGAATATATAAAGATACCTCCTCCTTATCCATCCTCTATTCTCAGGCTTCACTTTGGACAGAATCAACAACAGTAACAAAACAGGAGAAGGTTCAGGCAAGGAAACAGACATCTACCTCCTCAACAGAATCCAACCAAAACCAGATAAAAAGTAAAAGAAACAGAAACTTTTATACATTATTTTAAAAAAAACTACGATTAATCTCTCCTGCTAACAAAAGTTGGGGGTTTCCTCTTTCTTATAGTTCCAAACAGAAGAACCAAAACAGATAATAGGACTGCAGCGATTCACCCCAAGTCCTCCGTACAAACGGAGAAAAAGACTCTTCAAGAGATCAGCGTGCAAACAGAGTGAGTTTTATTCTGTTTAAATCTTCATTAAAGGAAGGAGGATCATGTATTTTATTTATTATGGTATTTTTACCTTCTCACAGGTCTGGCTTTGTCACAGTGAGAGAATCAGTAAGTTTCAAACGGCTGCTGTTTGCATTTTTTGCTCATACTGTGTTTATATTTGATCATGATTGGTCATGTTTTTCATGCATTGCCTTGTTTGTGGTCATATTTTGTCATGATGCATGTGTGTGCCTAAAGCCTAAAAGTGAACTTTAGTGTCTGGAAACAATGTCACTTCCCTGCAATGTTTTTTAATGTTTTCAAATGTTCGATCTGTTTTGAATATGTCTAATCTCTGTCACCGTAGGATGTTCAGAGATTATCGGACTACTTGCAGGTAAATGAAACCACATCCTCGGCTGTTTTTGTGTTTTTCTTTCAAAGCAGATCTCTGCAAACCAATAGGCTAAAAGTTTGTGCTCAATTTGCGTTTCATCACTCTTCCGTCTGCTTTCTTTTTTCAGGAAGCCCTGTGGAGAGAGGAGACCGTGAAGAAGAAGCTGGCCGTCCTGACAGAGATCTCCACAAACCTCGTGAACTCCTCAGATGTGTTATGGACGGTGAGATGCTTCTTCTACCTTTGGGGCTGCAGTTTTGTTTATCTTTCTCACATATGATTGTCTTGTTTTGAATCCTTTTTGTTGCTCAGTTGGTTTATGCTAAAATGTGTCACAGTTTTGTACCCATCAGTAGCAGCAGAAGCAATGTTTGGCGGCTAATTTCTCAGGAAGGCCTGTGCAGCTTGTGGTTTCAAACTTCCTGCTTCCGTTTTTCATCTATAGGACAAGTGCAAGCTGACGCTCTCTCACAGGAAGGGTGTAGCCGTCTGACAGTCACTGCTATAGGTGCAATGCATCCCCTGTAGCTTGCTTCTGAATACCCTAGTTGCAATGCATTAGACAGAACTACTGAATCAATAGAATAGGTTATTCATGTTTTAAGTAGTTTCTACCAGAGGTATGTGATCATTTTTGAAAATTTCAGCTCAAGCTGTGACCTTTCATTGAGTGTGTGCACCTGTTAGATGAGCCCATGAGCTGTTGTGTTACATGAACCATTAATTTGACATCTGCAGGTTAAAGCGTGAGTCTCTCGTTTCCTCTCTAACCCACACAGTCTCGCTTCAGTGAAGACCTTCTGCGAAACAAGATCAAGGTTCTGGAGGCACAGCTGCAAGTCTGCCTGCAGGTAAGCAGCAGGGAGATCTGTTACAAAAATGCATCCTGGCATTTTTTTTTTTAAGTCAAAGATGTTCTCTTTATGAATTCTGCAAACATTCACCTTCCTTGTTCTAAACTGCTCAGATTATAATGGATGACTTTGTTTTTTTTTATCGCATTTTATGATGATCCTTCAGTCTAACACTCTTGTGTTTTTACAGAAGTTTCCTAAAGATGGAGTAAAGAAAGTGATGCTACAGATGGAGAAGCAGAGGGGAATGTATGAGGAGAAGGCCTTGGTTGCTCTACAGAAGGCTACACAGGAGAAAGCTGATGCTCTCTGTCAGGCTGAGACCCTGCAGGTGAAATTTAATTTAAAGTTATTTGGTTTTCGTTGATCTGTGTGCTTGACTTACTGTCTTGAGGTCACCCTGTTTACATCTTGACCACAGGAAGCTCTTATAACAGCCCAAGCAGAGGCACTGAGGTGGCAGAGCCTCTACAGAGAGCTGGTGCTAAGCTCTGGACAGCTCAGGGAGAATCAGCACCACAACAACGACCAGCTGCAGCAGCTGCAGAATGAAGTCAAGGTAGGATGTTAGAGGTTTAAATCTGAGTGACTGGAATAAAGATAATACCATTGAGAATAATTAAACCTAAATGTGCATCCTGTGCAGCTATCCAGAGCCAGAGAGGTCGGGCTCAGGGAGGAGGTGGTATCGCTCAGACAAGAAAAGCAGGAGCTTCAGTACAACATCTGTCTGCTGGAGGAGGATAACCAGACGTTAAGAGAGGAAATCCAAAACCTTCAAGGTGACACAAAAAATAAGAGTCATGTTTGCTCAGAGGAAGTAAATCCAACAGGCCTCAGTTATTTAAAGTCCTTTCTGTCCCACAGATGGTGGCGATGAGAGCCAGAACACCTTTATTCAGGAGCGCCTTACGTCATATGACGTCGAACCACAGCTGACCGTCAGGAGGGACTCTCAGGTGGAGGAGCAGCTCCGACTCACTCAGGAGAAGCTTCATCTTAAAGAGAAAGAGGTGAACTTAGGACAAAATCACAGCAAGCTAAATAAAGCAGGATTAGAATAAACAAAGCGAGAAATATTACGCAACCTGCCACAAAGGTTCAAGGGCTCAATAAAAGTATTCTTTAACACCAGTTTTTATTCCAATTTATAGACACGTAACATGAATAAACAATTTTCTGTAGAAGTAAATTAGTATTAAAAACTAGAACTGCATGAAAAAGGGTCCAAGCTCTCCTTAATACTCTGACCCTGCTCACATCTACCACAGCTCACTTAACAGGAAAAAACAAAAACTCTTTTGGACTCAGCAAACCATAGATGCTAAGAAATGTTCGGTGGTACAGAGTGAAAACATAAAGATAAAGCTTATGAGAAATTTGCTTTTGGGCTCTGGAGGTTCTTATTGAGAAACAGCAAGTAATATGGTTTCTGCATGCAACGTATAACAGTTTTAATGAGCTATATATGAGAAATAAGTGTTTGCAATTTTATTGCAGTTGTCTAAAGATATTTGGAGAAACAATCATTTGCTTCATCTTTAAACATTTGATTAACATCTGAAAAATAAGCGATAGAATTCACTTTAGTTCATGTTTATAAAAGTAAAAAGATGATTTGTAAAATATGGTTAAAGGTTAAAGGTCAGATTTATTTGCTTATTTGGCACATACGGTACATTACTAAATTGAATACACCACCGTAGGACATTATTGTTAATTTATTTGTTTATTTCATTTAAGGTCTGCCTTTTTGTGTTTTTTTTTTCCTTTTTCAACATAAACCTCTTCAATCATAGGTCCTTTGGATCTGTTTTCTGGTTTTGAACACAAATGGCATCACCTGTCGCCATGCTTGAGAAGCTTATCCAAGCTACTGAGCCAGAAATGGGACTTTGTGCATTAGAATCTCAGTTTAAGACACCAATCTCTTTCCCCTTTTCTATATTTGGGTTCATCTCCATGGAAAATGCGCCATTAAAGCCTGTGGGAGCATTCGAACACTGGGGTCACATTTGATTTGAAGAGAATTAACAAAAAGTATTCACAGCATCATTTTTGCCACATTATAGGTCTTGTAGTAATGCTAGCCAGCTGGGAAAAACATCAATGGATTTTATGCGTATATCTTTATTATGTTTTTAAATCTCTAAAGTAATAACTCTGTTTAAAATTTGCCAAAGTATCTATTTCATTAGAAGGGTGTTATTTTGAACTCAGGCCCTAAATATTTAGCCGCATTAGCAAGCATTTTAGTTTTGTTTTTACGTGGCTTTCTGGTTAGAAAGAAAGAAAGAAAAAAAAAACTCTTGACTCTTTCAGCTTTGTTGCTTTATAATGTAATAATCTGTTTAGATTTGAGCTCCTGGGTGAGATTTATTAGGAAGTTGGTTGGAGTTATTTATTAGCTTTAGTGCCCATTTTTTAACCAAATTTTACACTGTAGAAAGAAAATGCATTTTTTTTTTACAGTGTATGTAATTCCATGTTTCATCAATAAAATAAAAATGTATTGATAGTTTAAATGTAAATCCAGATATAATGCATGTTGCTCAACTTTTGACTTTAGTGAAACTTTTATAAATAGAATTAAAGCCTGTTAGGTTGATTTTTGTCTTAAAATAGGAAATGAAGTGTAAATGCCTCTTTAGTGGGCTGCAGCTATATTTAGTCTGGATCTTCTTCTTCCATATGACCCGTGTGTGCAGTGTCAGGAGCTGCAGGCGGAGCTGCACACTATGGAGCAGGAGTGTCAGTCCAGCCAGGCCCGACTGTCACAGTGCAGAGACGAGCTCCGGCAGCTCAGCCACCGCCCCAGGAGACCAGTTAGTATTATTTTTATAGATGCATGAGTGTGTGTTTCTGTACGCTCTCATCCATCTTTCATGTGATGCTTTCCCCTCTCCTTTTAGACGCCGTGCAGCTCTTGGTGGAGGGTTTGTCTTTTCTTCCTCCTGCTCCTCGCCGTGGCAGGGGTCGCCATGTTGTGGTCATGGCATCCACCTTTCAGGGAGCAAGTAGAAGTCTTCTGGGCCGACATAGAGACACGAATAGAGGACTATCTCATGGAAATGGCTTCTCCCCAACACTCGGGCTGTTTTAGACCAATATGATACTATAGCTTATTAAAGTTAACTTTACTGTTGTAGATTTTGTTTAGTTTTAAAAGTTAGTTAGTATGAATGTTTGTAGTTCATGTGGTAGTTTTCATGAAACTCAAAGTTTGTGTCAAGTGTTGAAAATTGACCTGTGAGTGCAGGACATAAAAAATTCAGCAATGTTTAAAACATTTTTAAGCTGTTTGCTCACAAACTGTGAGTCTAAACTTGAAATTAGTGCAAAAACAGGGAACATCTTTTGTACTGTAAAGGGACTGTGTTCCCAGACGCCTCAATTGAATAAATAAATACATGTATTTAAATAGTTTGTCTTTAAACAGATGAAGAAGCACTCTGCTGGTTCCTAGCATTTTTTTCAACCTCAACAACACATCTGGATCTTTAAAACCAAAGGAGGAACATTAAATCTGTGTTTTAGTGGTTTGCTTTGGTTTTCGTGGGTTATTGAAAGAATTATTACGGTAGGATTATTTGCTCAAATTAAGAGAGATCACACAATAAAAAGCTGCAACCTCTCATGTTCCAGTTAAGCTCGGTCATCTGTACCCGTGGCAGATTTATGTCAATGGATGTCATGGAGCTAAGGATTAAGGTGATGGTGAGGAGGCCTTTACATCTAACAGATTTGGTTGTTAAAATGAAAGTGGAAACAAACAAAAAAGCTGGTCTGCAGGTATAAAAAGAAAGAAGTTCTCTAATGACTAATTTCCTGAAGATTTTCCTGTTGAATATCCAGAAGTGTATAATCTCATTTACCACATTAAAATGATATATTTTGTTGTTGTTTATTCCCCATTTTCATTGTTTTACTATCTTTTGAAATATTTCTCTCATTTCCTATCAGAGATAAACTTTTTGATTAAATCAAAATTATTTCAAATTGTCCTCTACCAGTGAGGAGATTATTCAGAAATTGTTTGAAATGTTCATCTGGGTTTATTTATTTTTTACTTTGCTGAAATAATTCATTAGAATAAAACTCTCCCTTAATGCTAATGTTATAAATTCTGTTAAGAAATGCTTTGGTCTTAGACTTATCTGCCAAACACATTTTAGTGATGGACATCTCTTGTTTGCGGTTGCTGCAGTTAAGGAAGTGCCTTTGATTATCTGACCAATCAGACTTGTTAAGAGGTGATACATATGGTCTTACTGCAAGTCATCATAATCTGAATTTATTTCATCATTATTTCATATTAAACCAAAAAAAAAAAAAATAATCCCCATATTCAAGGGGTTTCACATCAGTTTCATGTGTTACCAGATTACAACTAACCTCATATATTTATTTATTTTTATTTATGTTAAAAAAAAATACAAACTAAAACATAATTGTGAAGTAAAAATGTATGCAAGTTTGCCAAATTTCTTTCAAATAAATATCTAAAAAAAACACACAATATGCAGAAGTGGGTAGAATGCCAAATAAATGTACTCAAGTAAAAAGTATTTCATGATATTTCTATTGTCTAGGAAATTGCTCAAGTAAGTGAAAAAGTATTTGGTCAAAAGGCAATTCAAGTACTGAGTAACTTTTACTATTAAATTATGTAATCATGCAGAGTATAGTAGAAAATGTTAGCAAATTCTTTTTGTTTTAAAGAATTAAAAAAGTAATATTTTCCAATACAGGAATAATTGAAAGATAAACAAGAACCATTTCTTCTGGTATATAGAACAGGGTAATCTACCTCCCTAAAGTGACAGTATGAACGCATACTTCTTACTGTATATTTCCCAGCCATCCATGTTATCAGAGTCTCTAAAGATAAAAGTGACAGTAAAACAAAAAAGACTGTTTTAACTTAAGTTAGTCAGTGGGTAAAATAATACATAATAATAAATAATAAGGACTGTGCATTAAAACAGCTCCCACTTTTTTTCAAAATGTTACTTAAGGAAATGTAAGTAGTGGCTTCTCACCTCTAGTGACATGCATATGTGTGCATTTAGCTCCTTTTACTCAGGTATCTCTAAGTTAACACTTAAATCCGCTCCACAAATCTGCCCATCATAAAGGAGGATCATGGAGAAACATGATTGTTAAAGGAAATTCATCGTTTTGTTTGCCGTACCAGAGTTCAAAAAGTGTATTCTGTAAACATGGAAGAAGGCGGATTGTTCGATCAGTCCAGATTTTAACGTCCTGGTCTAAATGTTAAGAAACCTCTTTCACATTACCTTGAACACTGCATATTCCATGCGAGGCATGGTGGTGGTTGCATCATGCTGTGGGGAGGGTTTCTTTTCATCAGGATCTGGGGAAAAGATCTGTGGTGATGGGGAAATGGATGGAGTTGAATATACGTATCTCAATCCTGTTAGAGGCTACAAAAGACTGGGTACTGCATGTTCCAGCAGAACCTCCACCAAAAACATACAGCCTGAATCAGGGTGAACTTATTTAGAGGAAACATATGATGGCTCAGTCAACTCCAGGCTGTAATCCTGTTAAGAATCCTTGGCAGCAAATTAATATTGTTCTTTAAAGAGACTTCATCCAGTAGAGCTTGGGTTACTCAGTGGTTCTACTCCTGAGACTCCATTTAGAAATACTTTACTGATCACATAGAGGAATTTAATGTTGGAGTAACTCTTACAGGGGTTCCTTTATCAAGTAGATGTTGATAGTTGGAGACGGGTGGAGTCTCCTTTAGCAGTCTCTCTAGCAACAAACCTAGAAAGGCCTTTGATTGAAGACATTTTCGAGGATGCTCAGGCTGTTCAGTATTGTTCCTCATTTGATAAAATAATGTTTGTGAAATCATCTTCCGTGGTTCTACAGGGTTTTCCAGAACTTTTTTGTCAGTTTGATGAGCTTCTTTAAGTCATTAAGAGATGAAGGCAGAAGAGAAAAGACCACACTCTGCAGCATCTTGCTGCAAATATAAAAGGATCTAAGATTCCTTAAGAAATAGGCCTACTCTCTCTGCTCCGACTCTTCTTGTTTAAAGCATCATGTTTGTGTCTGCAGTCCAATCTGGTGTCCAGGTGAACATCAAGGTATTTGGGCTCCTTCTTCTCTGATAGTAGTTGTAAAAGCATTTCACTTCTTCCTGTTTCTATTGACATGGATACTCATTTCTGTTTTTTGATCCCCATTCAGAGAGATAATTGTTTCAGCGCCACATTACAAAGCAGCCAATTAACTCCCTTTGCGCAGCTGCTGAATAAATGCTAATGTATGACACATTTTTCATAATTTGATTTATTTTCATCATACTTCTTTCATGTCACACCCATGTATCGCTTTCTTTTGGTCTATTGTCCTAAAGCCTAATAGAAATGCATGGAGGGTTTAGGTTGTATAGTAAAAAAGTAAAAAAGTTGAATGGGTGTGAATACTTTTGCAAGATTTTGCATGTGAGGAAATTGAATAAGCAGCTTACTAAATAACTTAATTTCTGTGTTTACATAATTCCAAGAATTAACACATCAGGATCATGGGTCAGGTTACTGGAATGCCCTAATCTATAAACATCAAATTTAAAACTGCCCCCTCACAGCAACACCTCTGCCCCCCAAGAGCCAAAAAAGAAGAGGTGGATTTTCTTTCAAAGTATGCAAAGTGGCTAAAACTATAAAATAAATATAGTAATGGTATAATACCCGGGCAGTGTGCTCTATGTTAATGAAACCATGAAATGAAAATCTAATTTATACAACTGGCCCATTTACAGACCTAAAGAACGCAAAGTGGCTTGTCCTATTTGTTGTAGAGTGCTTTCTCAATGCTTTTTTTAATATTTCATCAAATATTTTTGAAATTATTTCTTTCTTTCATCAATAGAATATATGTTATTTGCAAATATTTTGAATCCAATTTATAGAAATTGGGTGATGATCATGACTTTAGAGCAGGAATGATGGAAACTGATTCCTGAAGGTTTGACATGAGAGAATGTCTAATGGTCCATTCAGGAAGAAAGCAGGATGTTGTTTTGTCTGAGATGAGAGTGATGGTGAAATGGTTTTTACTAGACCGGAAACAAAAACAAAACATAGTTGACAAAACCAGAAGATTATTACTTACTTATTTATACATATCTATCTATCTATATATTTATATATACATATATA